CAGTTCGTTTGGCCTAAGTGAAGAAGTTCTTCCGACCCAAGCCGAAGAGAAAAGTTAGTTCGCGCACCGACGGCGGAGATGAGTGACCAGTAATTCAGACTCTAGAGAGAAAAGTTCAGTTTGTTCGACCCAAGCCGGAGAGAAGAAGTCGATTGAGCCGCGGACCCTGGCGAGAAAGTTTGAACCTTGGACGACAAGCAGAGATGAGCGCCTAGTGTTGAAACCGCGTCAAGATAGCTGACCAAGATTCACGCACACTTCTGGACTCTTCTTCAACCAAGAACAAGTAGTTTGAAGAGCGACTTAGAATCAAGACCACAAAAATAAGTTTTTTCGACTTTCGTCCAAAGACACACCGAAACACAAATTTCTTAGAGAGCAGACACCTTGAAGCCTTAACGTTGCCTAGTAAAAAGCGTCGTGCCACAATCCACAGAACGGGTCAGGGGAAGTAGACATGGTCCTATGTACCGAGCAAATAGACATAAAAAAGTTTGTTACCTTTTTTTTGATACGTTGGACCTTGTGAGTTTTATTTTTATTTTCTTTTATACATAATTGTGTTATCACCCCGTTGGACTCAACTTGCATTACGGCCCCAACCCTGTTTGATCTCGTCTGTCTAAGATCAATTCACAACGTGGGTAGGCAGACTGGAGATCAGTGCAGTTACCCTGGTAACCAGGCGTTGGAAGCGGGTTGGGAACAGCGAGGCTGGTATCAATCTAACCAAGGGTTAGAACGTCACGTTTGGAGCAGCGAGGAGCGAACAGCTGACGCCGCGGCGAAGACGTCACAGTTGGTGCTGTCCGTGACCAGGATATCAGAGCCTGGGGAGCACGTGACGTCACAATTGGCGCCGCGACCGGGATCGAACGACACAGTCGACGCTGCGACCTGGGGACGACGTCACATCTACATATCTTAGATAAATGGAAGTTTTTTTTTTATATTAAGCAAGTTATTTTCTAGGTTAGTCATGTAGAAGTTGCTAAATATTGGTCCCAGGATGGAACCCATAGAGACACCATCGCATTGGACGTATATATTATTTTGATGGTCGTAGAAAAGAACATCTGTGGTGCACATCAATAGTAGTTTTCTTCAAATATTAGGACTAATTTTTAATGGAGGGAGAGATGGATTGTTGTAAACATTCTTTATGATTATATCTATTGTTTCTCTGAGGTGACGTTGGTAATAAACTTTCAACGTCAAGTGAGGCTATGTTTCATTATTAGGTTTTTGTGTTATTAGAATTTGGAGTTGTTTGTGTGTTGATTTAATTGGAGATACTAAAATCAAACAAATATTACAATTTAATATCCAAAAATCGAAAAGACTGAAAGACAAGGATGCGTCTTCTCACCGGACTTATTCAATGAGACGATTCTGAGAGAATTAGAAATCATAACAGGATTTAATGGCGGCCACGATATTTCTGCTCCTTCCAGTTTTCTCTTCATCTATAGGAAGATTTTCCTGCATTCATAGGCATATATGAGGATTGCATATTACATCAAAATTCTTTCTCTTTCTATTATGTGATTACATCTATCGTTTCCCTGACTGGGACGTTAGTGAATAAACTTTCAACTTCAAATGAGGCTATCGTTTCATTATTAGGTTTTTGTGTTTTTACAATTTGGAGCAGTTTGTATGTTGATTTAATACTGTATTTATTGGGTATATATGGTGTAATGAATTGATTAATAACTTTGGTCAGTTGGTAAACAGGAGTAGGGATTTAGGATATAATAGCACAGAGATTAAACTTAGGTTTATGCATTTTTATACTTCCATACATGGATCCTGGTTTGGAGTCACCAATTATTTTAGCAGGTTTTAAGCGATACAGTCCTGCGTAATTGGCTGTGATTAGTTTGTTGACTTTCGCTTTTAGTTGGTTAATCGTATTTTGTCAAATTTTTAAATTGAGGATGATCGTCCAGTATTTGTTGCATCTTTTAATAATAAGCCGATTTATTTAATATGTCGAAGATTATGCTTTTATCCGCTTTTTAACTATTAGATTGGTCTGCTTACGTACCTCTTTAGATTCAGTGTTTTGTTGTTTTGATAGAAGTACCAAATAACCAAATTAAATTAAAATACTACAATTAAAAAGTCTTTTGAAAAAAAATCACATTTTTTCACCCTTACATAGGGTGAAAAAATATTTTTGAGGTGAAAAATATGAAACAGAAATAAGAAAACATACGGTGCTAACGCATTAATAGATATGCAACCCCTAAAGATGGTCTCAGATGAGATTTGAGGTACTTAGGAAAATAAAAAAAATATTTGAAATAATATTTTAAAAAAAAGACTGGAATTTTTCTAGATCAATTTTCTACAGCCACCAAGAAATTAATTCGTGAACTTGAAAGGATTAAAACTAAAATAAACAGACATAAAACGTATAAGTTATTTAACCAAACATGCTTGAATAAAAAATACGCTACCTATACACACACACACACAAATATATATATATATATATATATATATATATATATATATATATATATATATATATATATATATATACAGTGAATGGGGGAAACAAATATTCGTACACATGTAAATTTTTATTTTATTGTATTTCCAAATAATAAATAAGGATTTTCTGCATATAATTAACTGTACACAGATGCATAATAATTAAATATGCATAGAAAATAGAAAAAAAATTGATTTAATAGAAATAAATCCCATTTATCCATTTTAATTGGTGAAAAAAGTATTCGTACAATGCAAATTTCAGATTTTAAAACTTTTATATTGCTTTAATACTCTAGATTATTAGTGGAATATTCTAGAATGTTCCAGTAATGTCATCAATCCTTATTTTTAGCCTAAAAATACAATCAGAACATTCTGTAATTGATATTCATGCAAGAAAGTTATCATCACGGCAAGAGGTAAATAATTGACAAATTCGCAAAAAGAACTGATTGTTAACCTCTGGAAAGAAGATAAAAAGTTGCAGGAAAATCTCACACCATTTATTACGATTAGTTCATTCATTGCAATGTATAAAAACTCGAAACTGTTGAAAACCAAAGAAGAACTGGTGATCCCCGGATGATTATTTCAAGATCTTCGAGGAAATTAATATGGAAAATTAAACAAAATTTAATGGTTACTCGTCAAGAGTTGGATGATTTGCTTTTATCAGGAATCTGTGTCGCTAAACGAACAATAAGCAATGAAATTCATAGGAAAAATCTAAAGTCATGCTGCCCTTCGGAAAGCTTCACTGCTATTAAAAAGTCAGTGAGATGCCAGGTTGAAATTCGTTCTTGAACATAACGAAAAGGAAAAATCATATTGGGAAAGATTATTATGGACAGACGAAACCAAAATTAAGTTGTTTAGACAATATTCTAGAAATCATGTAAAAAGGAAAGATGGCGATGCCTTCAAACAAAAGAACACAGTTCCAACAGTGAAATTTGGTGGTGGCAGCATCATGGTTGGGGATGTTTTTCTGCAAAAGATACTGCAACATATCAATGATAGTTGGTAGAATGAAAGCCGCAGAATATCAAAATATTTTGGAAGTAAATTTAATGATTTCCGTTTTAAAATCTTGAACTTCCTCCTGATTTGATCTTCCAAGATAATAATCCTAAGCACACTGCAAAATCTACGAAGAAATGGATTGCTGAATATAATGTAAATATCTTGAAATGGCCAAACCAGTCCCCAGATTTAAACTCAATCGATGATCTGTGGCGTTATTTGAAAATTCAAATCCAATTGAGAGCTCCAACAAACATCCCGGATTTGAAGACCATATGCGAAGAAGAATGGAGCAAAATGCCAACTAAAATTTGCAAATCATTAATTGAGATCTACAAGAAGAGTTGCAAAATAAAATGCTATAAAACCAAATTTGTTAATGTAAATAATTCTAATGAAAACAAATATTTCAATTAAAATTCCTCAGCCATCATTATTATATTGATATATCATGACAAGTTTACCAGCATCAGTTATTTAATACCAATTATATTACATAAAGTAGTTGCACAATAAAATAAAACATACTGTACTACTATTGTTGGGTGAATAGCGATTGAGTGGCCACATAAGAGTTTCCTTTCTATTGAGTAATGATGGGAATCCAATTTCATAGAATATTACATTTAAAAATTCGAATATCAATAAATCCATAGGTTATTAAAGACTGACTTAAATCGTATGACTCCATAATTCAATCAATCTATCTATCTCTCTCTCTATCTATCTATCTATCTATCTATCTATCTATCTATCTATCTATCTATCTCATTCTTTTCATATCTCTCTCTCTCTCTCTTATTCTGTTCACATCTATCTATCTATCTATCTATCTATCTATCTATCTATCTATCTATCTATCTATCTATCTATTGTAAGCATCTATCGTATTGTTGATTTACCACCTTCAGATTACCATCTGTTTGGGTCCTAAAATGACATTTACCCAACAAAGCGGGTCCCCAGAAGCTGTTGTTGTAGGGGTGCAAGTGTGTCTCTTGTCGCATTCTTCGAGGAGAGCATTTATACACTCCTGCACCGAGGGGATATATGTGGCGTTAATCACGGTGATGATTACGCGGGGGGGGGGACTTAGTCATCACAGTGCTGGTAACAAATGCCTAAACTTTTATTTATTTATAATTCTTGACAACGACTGCAGTAAGAGTTGAATGAACTCAAATTAAAAAAAAAAAAAATTAATAAAAAGAAGCAAATTGAATTTGGGCAAGTTTACTATTTTTTTTTAGTTGTAAATGACGTCACCTTTAAGTGATTTGAAATTGGTTTCTGCAAACGAAGGAACGCCAGAATTACCCAAACACAGTTTCAGAAACAGGAAAAACAACACCAAAAAAAAAAAAAATGCATTTTTTGATAAGCTCGGTTTTACTGGCTGAAAGTACTCAGATGAAAGAAAGAAACATAGATGGAAGTTTGAAAGTTTGCCAATTGAACCACTGTAAATTACCTCACCTTTTATTTCTGTAGTAATAATGATCTTTGTAACTTATTTTCGAGCATCCATACCAGACAGATAGATAGATATGAACCGATTGAGATAGATAGATAGATAGATAGATAGATAGATATGAACCGATTGAGATAGATAGATAAATATATAGATAGATAGATAGATAGATAGATAGATATGAACCGATTGAGATAGATAGATAGATAAATATATAGATAAATAGATAGATAAATAGGAACCGACTGAGATAGATAAATATATAAATAGATAGATACATAGATAGATACATAGATAGATACATAGATAGATATGAACCGGATGAGATAGATAGATATGAACAGACTGAGATAGATAGATAGATAGATAGATAGGTAGATATGAACAGACAGACAGACAGACAGACAGATAGATAGATAGATAGATAGATAGATATGAACCGACTGAGATAGATAGATAGATGGATAGAAATGAATCGACTGAGATAGATAAATATGAACCGACTGAGATGGATAGATAGATAAATAGATAGATAGATAGATTGATAAATAGATAGATAAACAAATAGATATGAACCGACTGAGATAGATAGATAGATATGAACCGGCTGAGACAGATATATAGATAGACATGTTGCTAGGAAGACATACAGATAGAAAGAAATATAGATTATTTCATGCATTTAAGAGGTAAAAGGTTTACAGAGCAAAATGTTTAGCTAATACTTTTAAAATTATCATGAAATAACTTTTATTAAAGTCTTTATTGGCTTAGCCAAAAGTTCCGTTCGATTATTAAGTAAAAAAATGATTTAATACATCGAACGAACTTTTTGGGCAATCTCATATATCAACCCTATGAAAGGCCTAGCAGCCATGTGACAACTATAGATCTAATTTACAATTTTTTACCCTTTTGTTAAGTTTATTATTTAAGAGTGTGAAGTAAATATAAGATTTATTTATTTTATTTGAATTTGCAGCATTTTTTACTTTAATGTAAAAAGCGTTTTTGTTGAGAAATTCATAAAAATTGTCATTAAGAATCTTAATAAAAAGTTAATTATTTTGACTACGACATTTGGTGTTCATAACAATGAACATATTCATTATAACGTGTTATATTTTATGAATAATTTTTCTTTCTTTCTAACAGGTATTTTAAAAAGGTATTTTTAATTTTTACCCTTCTTCGCGAATACAAGACAAAACATTTTACACTGCTAAAATGTTATTTATTAAAAATTTTATCACAGAAAGTTAATGTCATAATTAATAATTTTCTTTCTAACGATGATCATAAAATTTATATTTTATAATTTTTGTTCTTTATAACCTATATTTAAAATACCTCGAATTTTAATTTTACCCGGTTTTATTTAATAGAAAAATATATGACTTTTTCGGTGGAGCTTTACTACAGGCACTGTGACCAGAAATAATAATTTTTTGCAAAATTCTTTTTCATATTACTTGGAGATTAAACTCTCTAAATCACAAGTATTACTTCAATTAAATGTTGACGTTATAGAAATTTTGATCCAAGCCATAATTTCTCACAATGTTAATATTTTCTGGATGAAATGTCATGACAAACATTTGATAAATTCCATGACCTTGAATTTATGTTTTCTAAAGATATTAAAATGTCGCTTGCATATCGCAATCTATCATACGACAAAAGAAATATTTAATTCTAATAACATTTTTTTTTATTTTCATGAATATGGAAATCTTTTGAGAAATAGATTGTGGTTAACTAAAAATTATACTGGATATCACAGTTCTGTGAGTGATTTTCTGTTTTATAATATTTGGTGTTTCTAAATTGAAAACTTGTATGATTTTTCCACAGAATTCTTCATATTAGTTTCTGAAATATCATTTCAATAAGGAAAGAAGCAAGAGAAAAATAAATGTTTTTTTTTAAATTTACTAAGGTAACACAAGAATCATCGCTAAAAGTTTTGAAATTATTTTAAAATATTACTTATAAAATGTTTATATATTTCCATTGTACGATTCTCATATAAACTTTATATTACAATTTCTTACTTTTTCAAGTAATAAATATATGTTCATGAAGAAAAAAAAAATACATCCATTCGGAGAAACGTCTATCAGGTAATTTTCATTTTTAATTTTTCACCTGTTTACGTATAACGAACTGGTTAACTCACCAAATTATCCTGTTAACTTTGTGTTCCCGTTAATGTAAATTAATTTGAGCTGGTATTGAATCTATGCGTAATGGTAATATCTATTATCGTATCATAGTGAAATGTGTATGTTATTTATCTTCTGTAGAAGAAAGGAAAAAGATAAATAAAATACTATTATAAAACAGAAAACAAGGTGGTAAGTAGAGGTGAGAAAAATGACAATAGAATTTCTAAAAATCATTGCTTGTCTAAGATTAATTTTAAAAAATATTTTCAGGTTTTCTTGATATGGATTTAGTAAAAGGTTGAACTTGTTTTCTGTTGATATCATACAATTATATTTTCTATGCTTTTAATCAAATTGTATAAACAAACTGATTCATTATTACTGCAACATTATCTAAAATGTTTCTAATTTGTAATGAATAAAGTGATTTTTTATGAATTTAATTGGTAGTTTTGTTATTTCTTTGTACATTTACATTAATGGAAATAAATGAATAATTGTTATAGTTGTATGGTACTTCCTAATATGAAGAACTGCTAAATAACTAATTACTGCATATTACAAACAAGTATTTGCGAAAATGTTGTCTGTAATTGTTTAGTCATTTGACCGCCCCCAGTCATGGACTGCAGCTGCATCACTGCCAGGTCTGTTATAGGTATTACCTTCTTTATATATATATATATATATATATATATATATATATATATATATATATATGTGTGTATATGTGTGTGTGTGTGTGTGTTTTTTTTTGATTGTGTATGTATATAGGGGGTGCTTGTGTCTGTAAAACTATCTCTCTCTATGTATTTGTCTTGCACTCTCTTTTCTCTTTCTTCTCTCGATTTATGTCTCTCCACACCACTAACCTCTCTCTCTCGCTATATATATATATATATATATATATATATATATATAATCCAAATTTTTCCTTTTCTCTCTCTCGATATATATTTGTCTTGGTCTCTCTTTTTCTCAATTTCTCTGTATATATATATATATATATATATATATATATATATATATATATATATTGGCGTGCAAAACGTTTGGACCACATTGGTAAATTAATTTATTTTGTTAATTTTATCCCAAATTAAGAATGATTGGCAGTATGTCTTTCTCAGTAATTAGTGTCGCAGTCTTTGGTTTGTATAATTACCTCAATTCGATGTGGCATTAAATGGGACAAGTTTCAGATTTTCACATTGGGAATTTATTTTCAATCTTCTACTTAAGTAATACCAAAGCTCTTGGAGATTGCTTGGGTTTTGTTGGAGCATTCGTTTCTTTAGTTCTTGCCATAATGGTTCAATTGCATTGAGATGAGGAATTTGCCATGAGCAGTCGAACTTCATCCACAGGAAAACCTTTTTGTTTTACGTGATGCATGACAAGGAACACTGTCATGCATAAAATATCTCCATCTTCTTAGATTAGAGCGTAGTAAATTAAATATAGTTTTGGCTGTTTATGCCTCCATCAACTTTTACCAATTTTCTTCAGTCATCGCTTTTGCTGCAACTCTACACCGATACGTGTCCATATTTTGTCGTCTTTCTTTCGTCTCTTGCATTGTTTCTTTCTCCTCCTGGTCTTCTTACATATTCTCTTGCATTAGAATGGAACTCTATTTTGAATTCATCGCTAAAAATTATTTTTGCCACTTTCCAGCATCTCATGTTACATGTTCTTTTGTCCAAACCAATCTTCTATTTCGATATTTTTTTGGTTAATGATGCTTTTTTTGTTTCACTGCTCTACGCCATTCCAAGCTGTTCATCGTAATACTCCCCGGAGAGTATCAACTAAAATCTCACTGTAAAGATTGCATCCACTCCTCACTTGTCTGACTGTTATTTTTCGGATTGTCTACTCTCACTTTCATCTCTCTTGTTCAACTTTTGGGATCTAATGGATTTCTTTGCACAAAACACTTCCAGTAGTAGCAAATGTCTTTTAGAAGGGTTGAAACCAGTTTCTGGAAATTCCCAGCTGCCTGTCTATCTCTCGTTGAGTCATCTCCTTCAAAGTCCCAACCTTCATCTTTGTTTTAGAACGAATTTTAGCCGCGATTTTAGTGTAAAAGGAAACTACAATGACTTGACAAGGAATCTTAAACTCATGTTAATAAAAGAGAATAATTTCTACTTAGAAATGTGCATATTATCATGACTTTATCAGTACAGATCTTTCATCGACCTAATAGTTTAGCATATTTTTTTCAGTTTCAATCTGCTTAAAGCGGTGAATCTTTTGTTACACGGTACCTATGAAACGCATCAATTTATTTTACAGTCCTCAAAGTCCACAGATAACTGATAAAAGCATACTGATAAACAATCTTAACTTCTTAATAAAATAAAGGCGTATAATCATTTTATACAGTTGACTTTTGGGCGCCAGTGTACAAACGACAGACAAAAGAGTTAAAATGATGTTAACTGTAAGGAAAAGATCTTGAGACGCCAAGTCCGAATTTCGCTTAAAGTTTTTTTTTTTTATAAATATTTCACTTCAAGCAAGACGATAATGCCACTAAGACGCAAGGGATTACAATCCATTTCTTGCCCCAATTAACAACTAATTGGCAGTCATTTTCAAGATCTTCTGTCCGTTTTTCTTTGTCGTACCTATCGGAGTTTCTATTAAGACAGCAGTAAATAGCTATGTCATCAGCATAAATACCTAGTTGTAAACCGATGACACCAGGAAACTCATAGATGAAGATAGGTAAAAATGCAGGTCTAAGTATGGAAGTATGGAAACCCCCGTCTTATGATCTATTTTTTTGAATTTTCTCATGGTCTTTGGTTAGTGATTATTATATGGCAACTGATAGGCCCAAACTTTCTCCTATTTTGATAAAACATTCTGCTTTTAAATTTTTTTTTCGTTACTTAGCATCCATTATATAAATATTTCACTACTGGAAATTTGTTGATTATATTCTTCGATCCAATTCCGCCGACGCAGAATAAAATCCCTGACATCATAAATGTCACCTGTTTCTCTAAGCACATATCATTCTAGCAACAGTTTTCTTAATATTTAATTATATCTAAGAATATACCCAAGAGCGATACAAGTTTAGATCACAGAAAAAGTTCTTCAATGTAGCGAATTCGTTCCTACTCTCGCCTTCTGTTAGATTGAACTGAGTCAAGAAAGTTTGCTCCTTTGGGCGTGCTCTTTGACTTTATTCCAGACTAAGTTCACTTTAGGAAATCTATATTATGATACTTAAATTTCTCTACGCAGGTGTGTTTGTTACCATAACACAATAAAATGGCACATCGTAGGGAAACTTATTTTAGCGCACCGCAGTTAAACTGCTTTAACTTGAAGAATACATAAATATGCAGTCTAGATTTCGGGCTGGTCACCTTTCTGGCCCACCCTAGCCATAGATACATAATTGCACTACAACAGAGAGTGGTCATATGCCTATACGTCCACACAGTAGCCGTTGACCGCGTACTAAGCTTTCGCCTCAGGGTGGTTTTCACGT